CCCCTGGTAGATGCATCAATCCAGACGGATCCTGCTGCTGTGCCTGACGATTTGCATGCGGGAACTCCACCTGGTCCGCTGCGCTGGGCACAGCCTAACTCGCTGAACCATCCCACACTCCGGCATTTTCCGGGGAAGATCGAGGTGTGGCAGCTGGATGCTGATACTGGGCAGGCGTACTGTGTCGACAGTGTTCCAGAAACATGGTCGCTTCAGGAGACGGTGGCTGCGATGGAAAATCCGGGCTGCGGAGCGGAGTTTCTGCATGCCACAGCTGTCGCGGTGGCAGTCAAAAGAGGAGCGCTTTGCGATGGCCAGCCACCCGAAGACGGCCGTGAAGACGACGAGGACTGTGAAGACCAAATGACAGGCCTGGAGACGACGAAGGCGGTGAAGACTCGGGTGAGAGCCGTGGACCTGATCGGAGCCTGGAAGCAGAGGATCAGCTCGACTGCCCCTCGCAACACGGAGTAAGTCTGGACGGCTCTCCTGCCCTTTTCAACATCCAGGAGACTAGCAACCCTGAGCTACAAGAGTGGTTTCGAGAGCTTCAAGAGATGGCTGATCGAGCCACGGAGCAGCCTGAAGATGGCCATGGACACCAAGATGAAAGGCCCGAAGACCGCGACGGCCATGAAGAGCACGATGAAACGTTCGAAGGCGACCCTGAAGGCGCGTGGGACAGCTGTGCACACGATCCTTTCGGAGTTGGATTCTGTCTATGAAGCTGCCTGTCTGTCGCATCATCCCGCCGAAGGTGGTGATGCTCGACAAATGTGACGGCCTGCACGCTGCGTGACCCGTATTGGGAAGCCAGCCCGGATGTCGAATCGGATTGTGACCGCATGTCTCTGAGATAAATTGTGTTCTTTCCAGGGAAAGAGTATGAACGGATTATCGATCTGGCACGTAAAGATCTGCGGAACGAAGACCGAACGGGCTCTGATGAAAGTTAGGGAGCCCAAGAAGACCGCGATGACGAAGAAAATCGCAAAAGTGACGAGTGCATAGCGCGGTTTGTATGCTGTGCTACCCGTACTGGGAAGCCGACCAAACGTGTGCTTAGATCGACCGACCGCAGGACTTGAGAGGGAGAGAGAGAGAGAGAGAGAGAGAGAGAGAGAGAGAGAGAGAGAGAGAGAGAGAGAGAGAGAGAGAGAGAGAGAGAGAGAGAGAGAGAGAGAGAGAGAGAGAGAGAGAGAGGGGAGAGAGAGAGAGAGAGAGATTCTTAGCATAGACTCCAGTGCAGTAGTAGTAGTAGTAGTAGTAGTAGTAGTAGTAGTAGTAGTAGTAGTAGTAGTAGTAGTAGTAGTCGTAGTACTAGTAATAGCAGTAGTAAACCCTAAACCCTAAACCCGAAGGGGCAAGAGCTCAGATCACGGAAGCATCCTTTATGGAGTATGAGCAAGGACGCTCCTCCAATGAGGGGGGGATTGGGGAGGGGGGCGGAGGGTCAAACCCTTCGCACTGCCCCTCCCACCCCCCCTGTCCGTGATCTGAGCTCGAAGCCCTAGACCCGAAACCCCGGACCCCTGAATCTGTAGTAGTAGTAGTAGTAGTAGTAGTAGTAGTAGAAGTAGTAGTAGGATTAGTAGGATTAGTAGTAGTAGTGAGAGAGAAAGAGAGAGAGAGAGAGAGAGAGAGAGAGAGAGAGAGAGAGAGAGAGAGAGAGAGAGAGAGAGAGAGAGAGAGAGAGAGAGAGAGAGAGAGAGAGAGAGAGAGAGAGAGAGAGAGAGAGAGAGAGAAAGAGAGAAAGAGAGAAAGAGAGAAAGAGAGAGAGTGAGAGTCACTTCATGCTCACGTCGACGTCGAGCTGCTAGCAGGCTCAGTCAGGCCGCGAGCTCCCGCTCGACCTTTTCTCTGTGGTGCCATGGCAAGCGTGGAGCTCCTGTCTCTTCCTGTTTCGATTCTGGAAGGAGTGCTTCGTGACGTTGTTTCCGTGCCTGTCACACTGGAGCTGCACACAAAAGGTGGCGTGTGGCGGCCTGACGCATCCGGAGAGTGGGTGAAGCATGCTCCGACGCCGTCGACGGCCGTCACATTGCAACACCTCCGGAAGTGGCAGCCGTGCTTGCCTGGGATGACCATAGAAGAAAAGGGAGGCAGGATCAAAGTCAGGTTCCGTCACCCCGGCATACGACAGCTTGGTCGGGTGGGGTCCGCATCCAGAGCCATTGCTTGTGCGCTGGCGAATGTCATGGGTCGAGATTGGCAGCTGACGGGCTCGGAGTTCGCCGATCAATGCGAAGATCGTATCCTGATAGACAACCGCAAGTATAGTTGGGAATACCGACGTATTCATCGTGCATGCTTGCATCTGCTTCTTCTTCGTCAAGGACTTCCTAGCCGCCTGAGCAGAACGCTGAGTCTCGAAGCTTTTGTGGGAAGGCGCGTGGCATGGGAGGGCGATCGAGATGCCTGTCTGAATCGTGTGAAGTGGGCCGACCTCTGGCCCGAGCATCATTCAGTGAATGCCTCTTGTTCCTCTCAGTGACCTCTCATGCGCTGCGGCGAACGCAGGATGAGCCGGGGTGGGTTCATCGCAACCACGGAGAGTTTTGGTTTCCGGAAGCAGGTCGACCCGCCGTTGGTTGACTGGGGTCCCGGCGGCGCCGCCGAACTGAGTCTTTAAGTGTAGTCAGATTTTGTCGTCGACCGCCTCCGTGCTGTCAGTTCCTAGATAGGTTTCTTCTCCTGCACATGCTGCGGGTGTGTCGTTTGGCGGGCACGGGTAGCGGTGGTCGAAGGGGAAAGGACGCCCCCCTCGTCGAGAAGCCGACAGAGGCGTGTTCGTGATTTTGCCTGGAGGGCGGGCATGCGCTCTGGAAAGATTCGCTGACCGCTGTTGTTGACGGCCTGCGCGCTGTGTGACCCGTATTGGGAATCCAGCCCGGATGCTTAGATCGATCGCGGAACTTGAATAAAATCTTCGCACGCAGAGGCGTTGCTGCCATCTGGCTGCCGCGGTGTTATGTTGTCGGCTCCCCATGTTCAAGTCGCCGCCGTTGGTTTCGGCACGAAGTTTCCCGGAGCTTGCTTTTAGTGGTAGTGGGCGCTTGTAGTCCTGATGAACGAGTTCTTTTGTTCCGCGTATGGCTCCTTGGTGAAGCTGGAAGGACCGTACCCGCCGGATTGGCAAGTTCGTCGTTTTGGCCGAGCCTTTTATCACGACCATCTTCAGTATGCCAAGCGTTACTGGCGTCAGGTGAACATCGTGGAAGAGCTGGCGCGTTTCGAAGCTAAGGTTCGGCTCATGCACGGGGCGGAGGTGATCTGCATGGTCTTTGGAACACTACTACATCCGGTGTAGCGAGCATCGCGACGATCTTCGAGAAGCTTTCAGAGACGTCTTCGGCTCCACGGTGCAGGAGTACAAGTCCGCGATGGCTCAGCGTGGTTGTGGCACCGAGAGCATCGCGGTCGAAACCAGCCCATATCTTTCGAGCGACGAAGAAGACGAAGATTCGGCGATGAATCTGGATTATGATTATCTGTATTTTCACTGACCCAGCAGCTGAGGGAGTTGTCATTGCTTCACGTAGCGGGCCGGGACAATCGGATTGACCCGTATTGGGAAGACCGATGGCGGCCCGATTCTGATGTGTGGCTGTGCGTGCAAGACAATTCGCAATTCGCCAGAGGAGCCACGCTGTACAGAAGCTCCGAATTGGTAATTAATCATCATGGGCATGAGTGCCAGAATTGATGGCGATTGCATGGTTGCCATGGTTTTGAGTGGGAGCGGGAAATGGAGCCTGAAGAGATGAACTTGAGCCAGGCCACGGCCATGCAGTTGCCGGGGCCTTCGAAGAACCATCCGAGGAAGGATATTCGCAGCAAAAAGGAGTCGCCGTCTCTCTCTGCGGTGGTGACCGAAGTCAAGAAGCTCCTGGACTATCTGCGTGACGAAGGAGAGGTGCTGACGGTGGAGCAGTTGGGTTGGAATGTCATGGAGAGACTAGACGAAGCTTGGTCCACGGGCAGCGTGCCGGGCATCGAGAACGTCGCTCGTTCCTTGCAGAATCTGTTCTATCCAGATGGAGGTTTTCGATCATCCAAAAACCCTGGTAGCACGACAGATGTGTCGCTCTTTGTCGATGCCATTTGGCGAGATGCAGTGAACTTCGCGGAGGCGTCTTGCAAGAAAGTTACCGAGGAGTGCTAATGAAGTTTCGATACCGGCCTGGCAGCGACGGATCTGTTGCATGCCGTGCGACCCGTATTGGGAAACCGGCACGGCTGCCCAAAGTTGCCCGCGACTTCGAAGAAAAGGTTGCCGTTGCGCATGTGTGTGTGTGTGTGGACGCTCCGATCTAGCTTCCTTGCTGTCTGTGTTCAGGACCGCTGCAGATGCTGGCTCCGGAAATCAACATGTCTCATGTAAGGTTTGCCGACAATAACCGTATCCATAGCAGTCACGTCGCCATGAAAAGGGATGCAGCCCAAGCTTCGCTCCAGCGTGATCGTGACAGAGATGATGCCCGTGATGATGCCCGTGGCGTTCGTCTTCGGCCCAAAGATTTTGCTGGATATTGGGTGAAGAATCTTCCACCCGAGGGGCTTGGGGACGGCATCACAGCGGCTTGCTTCACGATACCTCATGATGGTCTCGTTGACGATTTGAAACAGTTCATTGCTCGGGAACTGACCAATCCACACTTTTATCATTTTATCTTCCAATGCGAGCTTCTCGACTCACGCAGAACGGCGAGGACAAGCCGCCCGTCACCAAGCTCAGCGCCATCGATACCACGGATCTACTGACTTTTGAATGGGTTGAACCATACTCGAGCGAAAATTATCCCCGCCTTGAGTACAGGCCGTAGAGTGCATGTGGTTCACCCTGCGTGCTGTGTGGCCCGTATTGGGAAGCCAACGCAGATGCTTCCATCGATCGCAAAACACGTTACTCTTCGACTTGATTTGTGTCAGCTACGTACGTTCGCAACGACAAGATCATGTAGTCAGCCCATATCGCAGCCGCAGCCGACTATCTCGAGCTTTTGCCGCCACACGCTGTTCGACCCGTATTGGGGACAACAGCCACGCCCGTCGATCTCGGAGTCGGCAACACGGAGACGCTCTTGCTGAAGCCCTCGGAGTACCAGGGACTGAAAGGCACGGCTGTTGCCGGGCGAGTTGTGATCATGACCACGAACACGGTGCCGATCAAGCAACGCGTCAGCCCTGCCGCTGCGCCTTCCAAAGGGAAAGGCAAGACCAAAGCCAACAAGGAAGCCCAGCCGCAGGCGAGCCAGAAGACGGAGCTGCATTTGGCGGGATCGGACTCGGTCAACGAGGTCGTCTTCATCGATGCTTGGGCGGATGCGTCTGATCGGATTTGCGAGCGCTGCAAGGTCGGAGACTTGATTTCCATCACAGGTGCTTCTGTGCTGAGCACGCCACAGCCCTGGTCGACCTCCCGTTTGCCTTACCACCTTCGAATCAAGGGCACGATCGGATTCAAGTTTTGGTGCAGAAGCTAGAAAGCTTGCCTTGGGGCGAGGCCCCTCCGCACCATCCGTTGGTGTCGTTGGACTCCTTGGCCCGCGTCAAGGACAAACAACAAGTTTGTGTGGCTGCGCAAGTCGCGGAGAACCCGGGAAGCACGGAGAGAGACGTGCAGAACCAGGGCAGGCAGAACGTCTGCAACGCCGTCCTTCAGCAAGGTGGCACCCGGGTCCGGTGCGCCTTTTGGCGAGGCTTTGCTGACCAATTCGCAACACGAGAGCCGGGAACTTGCTTGCTGCTTCTCCAAGTGCAGGTGGAAAAGAAGAAAGAGGGATCGTGGGAACTGGGCAGTCTTCGCGCGACGCAAATCTTGGATTGCCCGGTGGAGCTCGAGGCGAAGATTCGGGGAAACCTCAAGGAAGCGTCGGAGTGCAGAATGTTGACACAGGTTCCAGGTCGCAACTGGAAGGAGTGCGAGGCGGTGTCATCCTCCCTGAGCTCCCTCGTGGCTGCCATCGTGCCCGGTCACTTGCGGAAGCTGAGTACGGTCTTCCGAATTTCGGGGCTGCAGATAATGGGACTGAGCTCAGTTCGATCCGACAGTGATGACTGGGTCTTGCCGAGCTGTTCCACATGCAAACGAGCTTACCCCTGCCAGGCATGAGCTCGGATTTGTTTACTTATCTAATATCTGTGCATTTCTTTTTTTTTGTTTTCTTTTTGTTGTTATACAATTGCGTGATTCAGAAACCCGCGAAAAACTCGTTCAGGCACATCCGGATGCTACCCAAGAGAACCGCCTGGCTCTGCGCGCGATCTTCGTCGATAGCGATTGCCAGTGCTCTATGGTTTTGTACCACGACACCATCGCTGCCAACGTGGATCTGGGACAGGAGTTTTCGGGACGAGATACTCCGGAGCTGCGGACCAAAGTGCTGCGAGGCTTCCAATGCGCTTTAATTATGGTGTGCGAAAGTGACGTTCCGAGAGAACGAGTACCAGCAGATCATGGAACTGGAGTGTCGCCACCTCGAGCCCTTCCTGAACTTCCATGCAGCCTCCTCGGATCTGTTGCCCCACATGCTGAAGCTTCCGCGTTGCTCTGTGGGAGGTGGTTGCCCAGTTGCTCCGTTACGGGAAGTGACGAGGGACGCCGACCTCGGCATGCTCACGGTGCATAAGATCGATGCTTCATCGGTGAGGGCTTTGGTGATGTTCAACGACGTTGACATGGCCGACGACGAGAGTCTGCAGCAAGAGATGAACACGACGTCGGCCATGAGAGTCAAGCAGTGGGTGGACTGCTGCTTATCGGGACCGGCGCCGTTTCAAACGGGCGATGCTCCGTTCCGCTGCAAGATCCGAGCGGCTGGTCCGAGCTCGGCGGTGCGCTGGCTTCTCCGAGGCAGGAAAGGCGACGTCTTCCAGGTCGTGTTGATGCAGACGGAGACGGACGACGAGTACTCTGTGCTTTGGCACGTGCCAGTCCAGGAGGACGCCTTCGAGTCGGTCCGGACCTATTATCGCTATGTCTGCGCTCAGCAGCAGGAAGCAGACGAGTTGGAATTTGAGACCAACTGGACGCCTGCGAAGCGGATCAAGACTGTGAGAGAAAGCATGCCCACGCCGTCGAAGAACAGCGGTGCTTGGGAAGAGCAGTTCGCCTGAGACTTGCGCAGTCCATCGGGTGATTTAAAAGGCGGAAACGGTGCGCGCGACCCGGATTGGGAAACCGCATTTTCTCCGCCAGGAGCCGATGCCGTCAGTTGGAATCCATATTTCTCTAGATATCGATAGTATCGAAGATGATGAGGCTCGGCTTCGTAGTTCCACGGGATGGCTCCGGCATGGTTTTGCATCTTTTCCTTCTAGACAGCTTTTCGTAGACGTAGGATGGACCCTGTGACCCGTACTGGGAATCAGCGTCGGAGTTATATCTGCCAAGGGCCGACGTTCGAGTTGAGACTCTGCTTGGCACTTACTCGGCATGGCTCTTGTGCTTTTAGAGCGCTTTCTTGCGCGCAGCCTACCACTCGGATTGGGAAGCGCTGCGTGACTTGGATTTTGAAGCGCCCTGCAGTTATTATCAGACTTGTTGTTGCTTTTGAGCATCGCAAACATTGCAGAGCATCCAGCAGCTATTTTACACATTTCTCTTGCTGCAGCATTGATGTACGTCTTGGCCTCCTGGGGAGCTCTAGATACCTTCGCTTGCTCCTGGCTCAAGAGTTAGTCTTGTTTTAGAGATCGCCGTCGCGGCATCGTTATTCCGTCATCGTCATGTCCTCAGGAGACGACTCCGAGGCGAGCTGGCCGAGTTCCACCGCTCCCACCAGGTCGCACCGCATCAAGCTTGCTGAAGCGGGCCGCACCGACGCGGCGAGCGACATTTCTTCGAGGAGTGCGATGAGTGCTCTTGCGGCCTTCGTTCAGAACACCGATGCCAGCATGCAAACTGCGTTGGCTAACCTGTCTTGGGCTAATAGGACTCGGATCAAGCTTCTGCTTTCCCGAATCGAAGCTTCGCAGGATTACCAGCGCCTCGGCTACGTGATGCACCCGGGACCCGTGCCCGAGATCAGGAATGTGGCGAACGGCGAGACCTCTGCTAGCTGATTTTCTGACTGCAGTAGAAACTGGTATCGATGTAGGTCGGAGGCGTGTGATCCGGATTGGAAAGCCGCAATGGGTAGATCTGCATGTGTCCCATGCGTGTGATCCGGATTGGAGAGCCGCAACGGTTAGGCTGGCGAAAGCCGAGTTTTGCTTCACAACAGCTTCGCTGGACGTCTAGCGCGGACACAACAAATCTCGCTGCCTGTGAAACCTGAGCTCAAATGACACTGCCCATGGCTCTCTCGAAAGCGTTTGCTTGGACGGCACACTCGCAATGAGTTGAGGTTTTGCATTCCGGGTAAAGTGTTCTCTCCAAGAATGTACCTGAGCTCAAATGACACTGCCCATGGCTCTCTCGAAAGCGTTTGCTTGGACGGCACACTCGCAATCAGTTGAGGTTTTGCATTCCGGGTAAAGTGTTCTCTCCAAGAATGTACTTGGTCCCTGTCACATGTCTTGGTGGGTGGGCTTGCTGCTTGCTTTCGACTCGCCCTACCCATCCTGCATGCCCCAGCTCAGTGGTCTTACAGACCGCGCTCAGGTCGGGCTCGGACCAGAGTTATGGGTCCTTGACCGTGCGGGACAGTGTCGTTGGCCGGCGCTGGGGATTTATTCTGTGCTCGCCTAGCAAAGTGGTGTGCCCACGGCAGGTGATTCAGCGCAGATTGCAGGGAAGGCCCGACTACTAAATACTATGCCACGTACCCGCGCCCACGGGCAAAGTCTTGAAGTACTTTGCCCATCGCTGGAAGTTGCCCGCGTGGCCCTGCATGGCATCTTATGTTGTGCCTCATTGACAGGTCTGTTTGGATCGGCTGCGTTGCGCAGCGATCCCGGTGCACTCTACGATGAGCGTGACCTGTCTTCTTGCGGGCCTTTACGGGGCACAATCGGATTTCAGCGTGCAGCTCCAGCGGGGTGACCCCATCTTGGCCGAATGGGGGTGGCTTAGAAGTCTCCGGTCCGCATGACTGTCAGAGCACGCTCGTGTTTGAAAAGACGCCGGGGAGGCTACAATCTGAGTCGACTTGCTTGATTGAGCACTGTCTTGCGACTTGTTTGCTTCACAGCACCATAGTGTGAGCCTGCCCCACCTCCCTTCCCGGCCACACACGGCTCATCAAGAGTGGGCTGCAGCTGATAACATGTGAGAGCGCATGGACGTGGAATTGCAGGGACTGGTTCGTCATGCTTAAGCATCGATCTTGTGCACTCAGCTTTCCGATTCTCGAACTTTTCAGCCTCCCCTTCCAGCTTTCGACTTGACTCGCTTTCGCCATGTGTGCTAGCGCTGTGAGTGTGCTTTGCAACACGAGGCAGCGCTTGCGTCTTCTGGACTCCGTCTATTCGAGAGTGACGCTCGAATAGACGGAGTCCAGAAGACGCAAGCCGCAAGCGTTGCCAAGTCGCTGACGTCTGGCATCGCGAACTGCGAGCTGGTGTGTGGGCTGCTGAAACCGGCTCAACAGATGGACTCCTACGACGCGGTCTGGCCTCGCGAACTGCGAGCTGGCGGTGTGTGGGCTGCTGAAGTGCGAGGGGGGCGGCTGGCTCGATGGAGGGCCGGTGGCCAGGGCGGTTGGGTGGATGGAGGGTTGGTGTGTGGAGGCTTGAAGGAGCGGTGGATGGATGGATGGATGGATGCATGGATGCATGGATGCATGGATGGATGGATGGATGGATGGAGGGCTGGTGGCTAGAGGCTTGCAGGAGGTGTGGAGGGTGGAGGGCAAGGATGGAGGGCGGTGGCTGGATGGGAATTTTTTTTTGATCCTCCACCGCGGCTGGATGGAGGGGGGCTGGCTGGATGGAGGGCTGGTGGCCAGGTGGAGGACGGCGGAGTGGATGGAGGGCTGGGTTGGCTGGATGGAGGGGTGGATGAAGGGTGGACGGTTGGAAGGTGGATGGAGGGGCTGTGGATGGAGGGGGCTGGGGAGCGGTTGGATGGAGGAGGGTTGAGTAGCAGGGCGGTTGGAGGGAGGGAAGTGACTGGATGGAGGGAGGGATGGATGGAGTGAAACGCGGTTCGGTTCGCTCGGTTCGTCAGCGGTTCGCGGGTATTGCGGTTCACAGAGGTGGACGGTTCCTGGCGTTTCGGTTCCGGTTTGCGGTTCGGTTCGCGGCCTTCCTGCAATGCCACTCGGCATTGTTGCATTCACGAATGCATCTTGAGCATTAGGGTCCGCATTGCGCAGTTGTCATTTAACAGAGGGAGAGAAGGAGGGAGGGAGGGAGGGAGAAAGAAACAACGGAGTTCTTTCGGAAAGCGTGGACGCACGTGTGCATCTTGAATTGAAGCCGCTTCGTGTGCGGCTCCGTGCTGGCAGGATCGATGCAAGAAAAGGCGGGAGTATCCGCTGATCATGTGCTTCTCGGCAACAAGTTGCGATGTGGTTTTGAGACCTGCGGGTCTTGTGGAAGGCCAAGTACATGGCATGACAAAGCCAAAAAGGCTGTGTTCAGCATGATGCCTCTCTGGCCGTTCGAGCTTTGCCGCACCGTGTTTGCCCACAGAACGAGTTAATGCTCTATGTCAAAGAACATTCAAGCGATTGCAGAACGTCACGCCCATGTCTTATGTGCCCAGCATGTGGCGGTGTCACTTGGTCGAGTATGCGGCGGGCTGCATTGCGCCCTCCTGTCTTGACATTGCAGCTGTTCCCACCGAGCCCACGTGAGTACATAAGTTTTGGCCGCCCGACGATGGCTTTGTCCCTCAGACACTGAATAGACATTCAAGATGACCTGCCGGCGCTAAGCTTTGGTACTCTTTTGCCACCAAGAAATCACCCAGTGCCCAAGTGAACATCACCCCGCTGCGCGCTGCAGGTTCTGATCATCCATCACACGGGGTCACCTCGCCGCTCAGTGCATCGCGTTCCGCACTGGGATGTCGAAAGGTTTCCACGGGATTCTGTGCCACCGCGGACTCAGGCTTTGTCACTGCTTAGGTTTCGTTGTTTCGGCGGCATTTTGCCGAGAGCAAATCTGAAGTGCTACAGAAGTGGGCCATGTTTGGTCCAGCATCAACACATCATTCAATGCCCCCCGAGTCTGCTTTCCAATCACTGCTCAGTTTCACAAGGCTCTGCCACATCAGCTGCACAAGGTGTCACTGTTGAAAGAGTGGTTCAAACGCTTAATTCACACCGGCCAGTTAGTTGCAAATCGGGCCGTTTCTCCTGAAGCAGGTCTGCGTCCATCACGGCGTGTCACCTCTTCGTTCATTGCCTCGCATCCCATACTGGGATGACGAGAGGTCTCTATGGGCACCTGTTTCCAACGCACCCAAGCGTTGTTGACGCTTGGGTCTCGGTGCTTTGGTGGGCCCTGCCTCAGTACAGTTTTGAAGCGCTACTGCTACAGCCGTGGCTATTCAATCGGCTATGTTTGGTGCAGAGTCGTGCCCTGGCAACATCTGGGCCAGCATGCCATTGCAACTCCGTTGTGGACAGGCTGCGCGAGATGAAAGTTCGTCGCTGACTTACGTGCTTGCAAAGCCGCTGTCAGTTCAAGCCCTCACCCGCTTCATCGGCTAACAGTTTCGCTGAGTCCAAAGGCGACGTTTCAAGAGAATCGGGTTCAAACTTTCCAGCGTTCTGCACGACATTGTGCCGTGACCGGCGGGTCACGGCCTTGCCAAGCTGCTGTCAGTTCAGGCCGTCAGCAGCCTCATCGACAGCCATCTTGATCCAGGTTCGTTGAGTGTATAGACTCATAGACCACGTCCCCCATACTGCCGTCATGCTGGCAAGCACCAGTGTGCAACACCGTGTAATCAAGGTTTCCAGTTCTGCTCGTCAATGCTAGGCGCAGAGGCTTCTGTGCCAGCAGGTGCACGACCGTGACAGGGGCGTCGCGGGCTTGCAAAGCTGCTGTCAGTCCAAGCCCTCACCCGCTTCATCTGCTAACCTTTTCGCTGAGTCCAAAGACGATGTTTCAAGAGAATCGGGTTCAAGCTTTCCATCGTTCTGCACGATATTGCGACGGTGACCGGCGGGTCGCGGCCTTGCCAAGCTGCTGTCAGTTCAGGCCGTCAGCAGCCTCATCGACAGCCATCTTGATCCAGGTTCGTTGAGTGATACAAGCGTCATGCTGGCAAGCACCAGTGTGCAACACCGTGTAGTCAAGGTTTCCAGTTCTGCTCGTCAATGCTAGGCGCAGAGGCTTCTGTGCCAGCAGGTGCGCGATCGTGACAGGGGCGTCGCGGGCTTGCAAAGCTGCTGTCAGTCCAAGCCCTCACCCGCTTCATCTGCTAACCTTTTCGCTGAGTCCAAAGACGATGTTTCAAGAGAATCGGGTTCAAGCTTTCCATCGTTCTGCACGATATTGCGACGGTGACCGGCGGGTCACGGCCTTACCAAGCTGCTGTCAGTTCAGGCCGTCAGCAGCTTCATCGACAGCCATCTTGATCCAGGTTCGTTGAGTGTATAGACTCATAGACCACGTCCCCCATACTGCCGTCATGCTGGCAAGCACCAACTTGCAACACCGTGTAATCAAGGTTTCCAGTTCTGCTCGTCAATGCTAGGCGCAGAGGCTTCTGTGCCAGCAGGTGCGCGATCGTGACAGGGGCATCGCGGGCTTGCAAAGCTGCTGTCAGTCCAAGCCCTCACCCGCTTCATCTGCTAACCTTTTCGCTGAGTCCAAAGACGATGTTTCAAGAGAATCGGGTTCAAACTTTCCAGCTTTCTGCACGATACTGTGACGGTGACCGGCGGGTCACGGCCTTGCCAAGCTGCTGTCAGTTCAGGCCGTCAGCAGCTTCATCGACAGCCATCTTGATCCAGGTTCGTTGAGTGTATAGACTCATAGACCACGTCCCCCATACTGCCGTCATGCTGGCAAGCACCAACTTGCAACACCGTGTAATCAAGGTTTCCAGTTCTGCTCGTCAATGCTAGGCGCAGAGGCTTCTGTGCCAGCAGTTGCACGACCGTGACAGGGGCGTCGCGTGCTTGCAAAGCTGCTGTCAGCCCAAGCCCTCACCCGCTTCATCTGCTAACCTTTTCGCTGAGTCCAAAGACGATGTTTCAAGAGAATCGGGTTCAAACTTTCCAGCGTTCTGCACGCTATTGTGACGGTGACCGGCGGGTCACGGCCTTGCCAAGCTGCTGTCAGTTCAAGCAATCATCAGCTTCATCGACAGCCATCTTGATCCAGGTTCGTTGAGTGTATAGACCACGTCCCCCATACAGACGTCATGCTGGCAAGCACCAACTTGCAACACCGTGTAATCAAGGTGTCCAGTTCTGCTCGTCAATGCTAGGCGCAGAGGCTTCTGTGCCAGCAGTTGCACGACCGTGACAGGGGCGTCGCGTGCTTGCAAAGCTGCTGTCAGTCCAAGCCCTCACCCGCTTCATCTGCTAACAGTTTTGCTGAGTCCAAAGAATCGGGTTCAAGCCTTCCATCGTTCTGCACGATATTGTGACGGTGACCGGCGGGTCACGGCCTTGCCAAGCTGCTGTCCGTTCAAGCAATCATCAGCTTCATCGACAGCCATCTTGATCCAGGTTCGTTGAGTGTATAGACCATGTCCCCCATACAGACGTCATGCTGGCAAGCACCGGTGTGCAACACCGTGTAATCAAGGTTTCCAGTTCTGCTCGTCAATGCTAGGCGCAGAGGCTTCTGTGCTAGCAGGTGCACGACCGTGACAGGGGCGTCGCGTGCTTGCAAAGCTGCTGTCAGTCCAAGCCCTCACCCGCTTCATCTGCTAACCTTTTCGCTGAGTCCAAAGACGACGTTTCAAGAGAATCGGGTTCAAACTTTCCAGCGTTCTGCACGACATTGTGACGGTGACCGGCGGGTCACGGCCTTGCCAAGCTGCTGTCAGTTCAGGCCGTCAGCAGCTTCATCGACAGCCATCTTGATCCAGGTTCGTTGAGTGTATAGACTCATAGACCACGTCCCCCATAAATCATACTGCCGTCATGCTGGCAAGCACCAATTTGCAACACCGTGTAATCAAGGTTTCCAGTTCTGCTCGTCAATGCTAGGCGCAGAGGCTTTTGTACCAGCAGGTGCGCGATCGTGACAGGGGCGTCGCGGGCTTGCAAAGCTGCTGTCAGTCCAAGCCCTCACCCGCTTCATCTGCTAACCTTTTCGCTGAGTCCAAAGACGATGTTTCAAGAGAATCGGGTTCAAACTTTCCAGCGTTCTACACGTTATTGTGCCGTGACCGGCGGGTCACGGCCTTGCCAAGCTGCTGTCAGTTCAAGCAATCATCAGCTTCATCGACAGCCATCTTGATCCAGGTTCGTTGAGTGTATAGACCACGTCCCCCATACAGACGTCATGCTCTGCTCGTCAATGCTAGGCGCAGAGGCTTCTGTGCCAGCAGTTGCACGACCGTGACAGGGGCGTCGCGTGCTTGCAAAGCTGCGTGTAATCAAGGTTTCCAGTTCTGCTCGTCAATGCTAGGCGCAGAGGCTTTTGTACCAGCAGGTGCGCGATCGTGACAGGGGCGTCGCGGGCTTGCAAAGCTGCTGTCAGTCCAAGCCCTCACCCGCTTCATCTGCTAACCTTTTCGCTGAGTCCAAAGACGACGTTTCAAGAGAATCGGGTTCAAACTTTCCAGCGTTCTACACGTTATTGTGACGGTGACCGACGGGTCACGGCCTTGCCAAGCTGCTGTCAGTTCAGGCCGTCAGCAGCTTCATCGACAGCCATCTTGATCCAGGTTCGTTGAGTGCATAGACTCATAGACCACGTCCCCCATACTGCCATCATGCTGGCAAGCACCAATTTGCAACACCGTGTAATCAAGGTTTCCAGTTCTGCTCGTCAATGCTAGGCGCAGAGGCTTCTGTGCCAGCAGTTGCACGACCGTGACAGGGGCGTCGCGTGCTTGCAAAGCTGCTGTCAGTCCAAGCCCTCACCCGCTTCATCTGCTAACAGTTTCGCTGAGTCCAAAGAATCGGGTTCAAGCCTTCCATCGTTCTGCACGATATTGTGACGGTGACCGGCGGGTCACGGCCTTGCCAAGCTGCTGTCAGTTCAAGCAATCATCAGCTTC